AGCTTGAGCATTCTTTGGGATTGCCTTACTTAGGGATTGGAATGAAAACTGACCTTTTCCAGTCCTGTGGCCACTGCTGAGTTTTCCAAATTTGCTAGTATATTGAGTGCAGCACTTTGACAGCATCATCTTTTAGGATTTGAAATAGCTCAGCTGGAATTCCATCACCTCCACGAGCTTTGTTCATAGTGATGCTTCCTAAGGCCCACTTGACTTCGCATTCCACTGCTTGACATAATGTAAAATCCTTAGTGGATTTTAGTTTTAGTGAAATTTCAAGAAAATGGCTGGGATTTTTAATGGGGTGGGAATGTGTTACTATGTTTCATATTTAGGTTAATGTCTAAAAATTCACTGTCCAGAAGATTAAATTTGGATAATGAAGAATGGTGTACTGTCTTTTCTCTTTATGGTGGGTTACACTTGATAAAAGACTCAAGTGCATGCTCATATTTCTTTGGTCTCCTTCCCACCCCAGTGTGTTGATAATGTGTTGAATTTTTCTTTGGTGGTTGTTACCAAGGGTCTTTTGTTTATTTGTTTGTTTGGCCACACCTCACACACTCAGAATCTTAGTTCCCTGCTGCTGCTGCTGCTGCTGCTGCTGCTAAGTCCCTTCAGTTGTGTCTGACTCTCTGTGACCCCATAGATATATAGTAGTAGTTATTCCTAGAGGATAGACAGGGTTAGATGAGAGAAGCACGTGAGTAGATAAGCGTCAATAATATTCCAATTCTTAAACTGGGTGAGGATTCTGTCTCAAGTCCAAGCCCTATATGTGATTTTTTTTTCAGGGCTGACCCTAAGGCTGTCCCTGGCTGGTTTCCTGGGGGAAGCTACCCTCCCCACATGCGATGTGGTGCATAGCAGGGCATTGCACTTTCTGAAGGTGACCCATGGCCCCTTAGATCAAACAGGCTGAGAAAAAATTTGTTTTTTGCCTGCTCACTTCCATCCATAAGCCTCTTTACTGGAGGCATTGGTGAGGCACATTTCTTCACTATGACTCCTATCTCTCCATTCCTAGCCCTTCTTCCTCTTCCTCTCCAGGTCTCCCAGGTCCATAAGAAAATAGAAGACTTTTGTCTGGGGCCCGAGGTGGCTCAGTGGTAAAGATTCAGGAGCTGTGGTTTCCATTTCTGGGTCAGGAAGATCCCCTGGAGGAAGAATAGCAACCCACTCCAGTATTCTTGCCAGGATCATCCCATGGACAGAGCCTGGTGGGCTATACTCCATGGGGGTCACAAAGAGTCATACATGTCTGATCACAGAAACGCACAGCAGTAAAAACATCGCTGTGTACCTGCAAACATCTGACCCTTGACTGGTACTATTCCGAGTGGTTGTCAACCCAGATAATCATTACATAGTCCGACGTAAGGAATAGAAGAGAGTGTTATTTTAGCCTTACTGAGGACTAGTCTGGGAGTTCAGTCTCCACCAAGGAAGAAAGTGCTCCGGAGATACATGGCATTCAGCACAATTTTATATCTCTCAGAACAAGAGCATACATCAAACATGACAAATATTCCTTCAAGTTTTCAAAAGAAAGATATTAACATGTACACGGTAAGTCAGTATGGCCTTGGCATCTGGGAAGGGAATCTTTCAGGGAGTACTAGCATCGGTGTCATAGGAAGGGCGGCATTGATCCCTGTCCTCAAAGTAGACATTCTTTTTACTTCAGGACAATGCATTCTTTTCATCTGTGGTTAAAGCAGGTGTACAGTGGATGTTGGACAAGTCAAAAGCCAAGCTGTTCTAGTTGCAGGCAGTGACTGTTGTTGACTGTGAGCAGGTCCCGGTGTCAGGAGACTTTCTGCGACTCACTGTGTTATTGAGGCTCATGCTTTCCAGAAAAGAAGGTGAAGTGCTTCGGGGTCACTTTCTATAGTAATTCAAAGAGACCTAGATAGAGACTTGGTTAGTTTGCTTTTACCATGACAAAGATCTTCTTACCATGACAAAGATTTTCTTACACTTTGTGATGGAGCATCTGTTGATGGGGTGCATTGCCACAGACCCCCTCTTTCAAAGTGCCAAAGTGCCCCGACACAGTACACTTTGGTTGGGAAGGAAGAGAAAAATGGGGAGGAGAGGACTCAGGTTTTGGTGGAAGGCTTTGGAACTGGTGCCCTCCCACTGACCCATTTGGGGATCTTGATGGTATTTGTCTACTGGGTTACCAGAAAGGCTGCTTCCTTAGAGTGGGGACTCTACCAGTGAAATGCCAGGAGGCCATCCAATGGCCCAACCAGTCACCCTTTTCCTGGGCCCCATTTATCTACATTTACTCTTGTCTTACATGTCTCCACAATCTCTCAGATCACCAATTGGAATCTAGAGCAGGAGAACAGTGTCATAGGCCAGTTGTGTTAGTTGACTTTGGATTCATCAACTCTGATTTGCTTGAAAAGTGCATCTCCTTTGACAGGCAGTTAGGGCCTTTCTAGTACCTCAAGTGCACCAGCATCATCAGTGTGACATCCTTTGTTGATGCAACTGGATTCTGCAGGAGGAAAACACCTCCATAAAGTCAGTTCACTCCTGTCAGAGAAGGAGGCCACTGGAACATCTGGAAGAGCAGTGGGAGATCCACCATCAGAAAATTTTGGCCACACTAGTGGTGGCCTTCTTCCTACACTCACTCCTACTCTGCACAGACTGGGTAATTTCTCTCACTGCTGGAAGCCTCCAATTATTAAAAAGTTCTATGCAACCTGCCCTTGGCCCTTGTTGAAGTTATTAATGATACTCTCTGAGCGTTGGAGGCACAACAGAACAGCCGCCACTCCTTGGCCTTAGTAGTGTTGGCTAACTGCTTTGTCCTTGGGTTCCAGCTGCCCAGTCTAGGGGATCTGTGCCATTGCCAACACTTGGATCAAGAAAACTGGCAAATTAGAGCAGTCCATTAGGAAGCTGAGACAGAAGGCCTTCTGGCCTTTTAGAATAGACCCTAATGGGTTATAGGCCATCTTTATCTTGCTTAAAAAACATAGGGGCTCATGGCTACACTCACTACTCCAGGCAGGCCTAATCATTCGACTTGGAGTGGTTTAGATCATGGCCCTCATACTGACCAATCAGCATGGTCACACCCCATCAATGTCTGGCTCACAGAGGACCTGATGGTGTAACCTCTGCTTCTCATTCAGATCCTAAAGGACCCAGGGGTTGAATTAAGGAGTCCAGTTCCAGGGGGTCAATACCTATTTGTGATCTTTTGGGCCGGGCCCTTACAAGACTGTGGATGGCCTCATGCTGGAAGCTCCCCTCCCTACACCAGACCTGGGGCAGATCCCTGAAGTGCAAATCTCTGAAGCAAGTGGCTGCTAGGACACCCACACCTCCTTACTAGGGGTCTTGGCTGAAGCATTTGTCTCCCATCTGACTCAGTATGTTTCCACGCCTAGAATTCCCCTTTCCCACCTCTCTCTCCCTTCCACAAATCGGTAGGGCTCTTTTGTTGGAGGCAATGAGAATACTCCCCCATAACTGTATGTAAAGTAACCCTTGCCTGGTGTTTCACAAGGAAAGAAGGAACGTTGGAGAGCTGCCACATCTTCTTTTGGTTCCCTGCTCCCTCTCCAGTGGTGAGTGAGTAAAGGCTTGATCTCTACTTTCAGTTTGGCTCATTGTCCTGATTGATCATCTCAATACCTGAGTGCAGGCCACTGGGTGATGGGCTCTCACAGATGTTTATTTTTGTACTTATATTAATTCATATCATACTTAATACCACATTAAGAGATAATTATTGTGAGACCCTCAAAGACCCAGGAATCTAGCTCCTGGGGCCTCTGGAGTGAGAGTGGGTGGGTCAAGTAGAACTTCAAATGCTGCAGGGCAAACTGAAGCCCTGGGATTTGCAGTCTGCTTCTTTTTGAAGTCTTGCAGTAGAAAGTGCCTTTCTGAGTGGCCCCCAAGCTTGGAAACAAATGGAGGGCTTACCCAGATACTTTTTCAAAGGAATATTATTCAAGTTGGCACTTGGATGAGGGTCCAAGTCAGACCTAAGAGGACAAGGCCTGCAAGAGCTGGGAGAAGGACCTAAACAGCAGATGAAGATGGCTAATCTTCTCAGGAGCAGGTGTTCAGTCATGCCCAGAAAACAGACCCTAGGTCACTGCAGCTGCAGACATGTCAGCAGAAGCCTGAGGCCCCATGGAAAGGAAACATCTTTCCCCTGGCGGCCAGCACTTGACCACTCCTCCTCCTCCAACACCACCATCTGCTGTGTCCTGAGAAAGCAGAAGGGGAAAGAGACACTTTGCCTTAGAGAAAAACAGCTGAGATAGGAGGTTTAACTCTTTAATGAAGTTCATCCAAATGAGTTTCATTTAATGAGACCACTTGACACTGGAAGTAACCAAGCGTCCCCTTCCTCTTAACTCTGTAGAAATGGACCTCCAAAGAAATAAATGAAGTGCTGAGATATGAAATGCTACATTCTTTCTTCTTTTTTTCTTTCTTTTTAATTGAAGGATGACTGCTTTACAATATTGGTTTGATATCTGCCATACATTGCCATACATCTGCCATACATTAGCCATAGGTGTACATATGAACCTCTCTCCCACCTCCCACTGAAATGCTAATTTCTTAACACATTTGAACTATGCATGCATTACAATCATCTACATAAAACATCATCTACATCTACATCTTTACATGTACAAATAGAAATAAAGGATTTCTATTAAAAGAATAAAGGATTTCTACAAGGAATAAAGAAATAAAGGATTTCTACAAGGATTCATAAAACAGTGATGAAAACATTCACTATGCATAGAAAAGTAAATGCAGAGTGCTTCTGATTCTACTGAAATGCATACACATATTCTTTATACATTTCTTTATGCATTACATTTATACAAAAATTAATGAAAACCTTAAAATTTGCAACTAATATTAAGCATGTGCTGGCACAGTGCTAGGTGCCAAGCAAAGTCTTAGCAGGGAGACTCTCAGTTTAAGTCATTTCCTCAAAGGCTGCTGGGTTTGTCATTGTGGGAGAAATTCATCTGTGGCCTCTCCGATGCTGCTTTAAGTGATCAGATCTGGCAAAGTCTTTGTTGCATATAGTACACAGGTATGGCCGCTCCCTGGTGTGCCTTTTCTTGTGTCTGTTGAGCTCAGATGAACGGGAGAATGCCCATGTGCATCCATTCATGTTACATTTATAGGGCTTCTCTCCTGGAAGCAAGAAAGAAAGGGAGACTTGTCATGATTCAAGGTAGCATGAGACAGGGAAGTTGGAAAAGAATGGAGAAGAAAATTGTTGGGCATGTTGGAGTGGGACAGAGAGAGACAGAAGACAGGACTGGAAGGTGTGTACAGGAAAGGAAGAGGAGGAGGACAGGATAGGCAAGAGGGCTGAAGGAGGAAGAGGAAAAGAAAAAGAAAAGTAGGAAGGGAAGCAGGAAGGTAGTGGTGGGTAGAGAAGGTTGAGTGGGGTTATCTATTGGGACTATGGGAGTCCATAAAGAGACGGTCCCAGAAGAGGTAGGGTCAGGACCATCCTAAGGGGTCAAACAAAGCCCTCCACTTCTTCCATCATCCCAGGCAGTCAACACCACAAAACGCTGCAGCCAGGTTGCCTCTGGAGCAGAACTAGAGTCTCTTCTAGGGACTGCTTTTTATACCTTTTCGGATCGGCCAACCTTTTCTAGAGTCTTCTGGGTCCCAGACTTAGAGGGAGGTGGCAATGATCTCAAATGATCCCAATGTTTTGTAAAGGCAGAGGCCTTTAGTTATTTTCCTGACACCCCCATCCTGCAGTCTTTACTCACCTGTGTGCACACGCTCGTGGATTCGCAGATGGGAAGATTTGGCATACGCTTTCCCACAGTTATAGGTGCAGATGTAAGGCCTCAAAATGTCAGGCCTCTTCTGCAATGGATACCTCTGAATCTTGGGATTCCACTTCTGCATTTCTGCAGGTTGTCCTTGGGTCAAATGAGAACTGGCAACATACAGAATTCTAGGATATAGCAATGATGCTGAGGAAAGTGGCATCATATAGACTCGGTGGGGAGTGTCTTCATCATTGAGTTTCTTCATCTGACCCATATAGGTAGTTTGGACCCCACTGAAGGTCATCTGGCCTCCATAGAGGCTCTGGTCATCATTGAGGGTCTTCATCTGGCTACTCTCACTGGGGATTGTCAACTTGTTTGCATTAACGGCTGTTGCTTGACAATCAGTGATGAATGTATTCGGAGTGTCAGTGACATCCATCAACTGATGTGCTGCAGGGTTTCTCTCAACAAAGGAGGTCACCTTGGAGTAAAAAAAAAAGTCACTTTAGGTTTCCAAGGGGCAAAGTAAGGCTTTAACATGGACAAAAACTGTCCCAGGGATGACAGAACATGCATAAATCATCATCGTGGGCCTCAAAAGATTCATCACCTGCTTCCGCAGGGACTCCTTTTGGCTGACCTCATCATGGGCAGTCAGAGGTACACAGACCTCTGACTCTGGTGCAGCTGGGCTTCTTGTTTTATATGTCTCATTGACCTCCTGGAGAAACTCCTCAATGTCCTCAAGTGTCGGAAAGTAAGATGTCATGGAAACCTCTTTGCTGTTGCCTGATAACTGAACTAGATCTTCAGTTGTGGGTTTCTGCAAAAAAAAAAAAAAAGTTAGAAGTTCAGATGTTGTGGTGGTGGTAGTTTAGTCACTAAAACATGTCCAACATTTGCAACCCCATGGACTATAGCCCGCAAGGCTCCTCTGTCCATGGGATTTTCCAGGCACGAATACTGGAGTGGGTCACCATTTCCTTCTCCAAGGTATCTTCCTGACCCAGGGATCAAACCCAGGTCTCCTACATTGCAGGCAGATTCTTTACCAAATGAGCCACCAGTCAGATGTTGTACCCAGTTCAAATTCTAATCCTACACACCCACCATCACTGGGTGTATAGGTTTCCTAAACATCTGGCAGAAAATTTACAATTGACTGCCAAAAGCCGTGATGTCGGTAGTCTCACACCTGTTCACCCTGTGTGCCTCCTTGCAGCTCTTGTCATACCCTGATCAACCAGTCTGCTCAGTTTTGCCATATCCCCGTCTGGTCCCTTTTTCAGTCTGCCTCTCTCAGCAAACTGTCTCAGTGACTGTAGCCTGTATTACCAAATATGATCTCCCATTCTCATCCCTGCCAAAAAAGCCCAGACTCTTCCACCTTGTCCTGACTCTCAGAGCAGAGAGACAGCTGTGATAATTTGTCCAGGGACTATAATCAAAACTTATGATGATACATCCATTGAATAAGGTAAGCTGAGGACATTCTGAAGTCTTTTTCTAAACAAAATCCATAGAAATGAGAGATGGCCTTAAATTTAACTGTGATATATATAATCATGCTTGAACCTAAGTGAAAATGTCCCAGCCACAGTGGAGCAAAGGCTACTGTCACTTGGAGGTGTAGAAATAGGATATGCTCATGAGGCCAATGTCACTGTGGAGACACTCCACCAAGAAGGACCGTGAAAACTTATGGATTCTCAGAGCTGAAGGCCTCATGGAAAGTCAACTTCTAAGAACAACTTAATCTGGCACTTCCTTTCCTCCCATTCTCACTCTTGAAATAGTGTCATGCCAATCTGCTCCCCTTCCTCCATTACTGAACTGAAAGTGCCTCAAAACTAGAGAACTCAGTGAGTTCTGACAGATATAACTGTGAGGACCTCAGAGAAAATGGACTCAGTGAAAGACTTCCGATTTTCATTCCCCCAGCTCTAGGTCTGCATCCAGCCTCTAAAATCTCAGGCTGTGTTTGGGGTGTCAGTGACATCGGTCATCTGGGATGTTACTGTTGGTCTACTGTCCTCAAAAGAGGTCACCTTGGGTCAAAAAGGATCTTGCCTAAATTTCCATGGGGCAAATCAAGGGCTTTAACATGGGTTGATGTTTGTTCTGCACCAGAAGTGTCTGAGGGATGCTAGGACATGTATAAATCATCATTGTGAGTCGAAAGATTCTTCACCTGGTTCTGCATGGACTCCTTTTGGCTGTCCTCTTCACGGGCAGTCAGGGGTGCACAGAGTTCTGCCTCTGGTGCTGCTGAGTTTTCTGTCCCATGTGTGTCATTGAGTTCCTGGAAAAATGCCTCTAGCTCTTCCATTGCTTCAAGGTAAGAGTCTCTTGAAGCCTCTTGGCTATTGCCCAATAGCTGAGCTTCAGTTGTGGAGTCCTGAAAAAAAAAAAAAAAAGGAAGTTCATATACCCTACCTAGCTCAAATCCCAGTTCCACATTCATGCTTCTCCCTTCCTATTGATCCAATTCAAGTCTAGTCCACCATCATTGCTTGCCTAAAAGCCTGCAATTGCCTCTTAATTGGCCTCTGTGAATCAGAGGACTCCATCTTATGAAACTTCAAGACAGTCAGAGTAATATTTGTAAAATGAAAACTCTTCCTATGCCACCCTATCTATCAGTGGAGGTGGGAATCTAGATGAATGTAAAAATACCCCACCACCCCTACATAGATGTTGTCCCACAGAGTTTTAAAAATCATAATATGATTCATGTTTAAGATTTCAGGACAAAAGTAGGCTTGTGAAATGACGAACAAATATATTGCATGGAAAAGGAAACCAAAAGCCAGGTTAGCTACACTATGTCAGGAAAATTCACTGGCCAAAGCTGTTACATGAGAGAAAGAAGGTCATTATATAATGAAAGGGAACAATTAGTCAAGAGAGAGACCAACTGTCCCCTGGAAGAGGAAAGGACAACCTACTCCAGTATTCTTGCCTGGAGAATCCCAAGGACAGAGGAGTCTGGCTATAGTCTATTGAGTTGCAAAAAATAGTAAGACTAAAGCAAGTGAGCATGCATGCACAGGTGTCCAATAGGCACATGAAAAGATGCTGTTTATTCAGTTCAGTTCAGTCACTCAGTCATGTCCGACTCTGCGACCCCATGAATTGCACACCAGGCCGCCCTGTCCATCACCAACTCCCGGAGTTTACTCAAACTCATGTCCATTGAGTCGGTGATGCCATTCAACCATCTCATCCTCTGTTGTCCCCTTCTCCTCCCACCTTCAATCTTTCCCAGCATCAGGGTCTTTTCAAATGAGTCAGTTCTTNAACCAGTCTGTTGTTCCATGTCCAGTTCTAACTGTTGCTTCCTGACCTGCATACAGGTTTCTCAAGAGGCAGGTCAGGTGGTCTGGTATTCCCATCTTTTGAAGAATTTTCCAGAGTTTGTTGTGGTCCACATAGTCAAAGGCTTTGGCATAGTCAATAAAGCAGAAATAGATGTTTTTCTGGAACTCTCTTGCTTTTTCGATGATCCAGCCGATGTTGGCAATTTGATCTCTGGTTCCTCTGCCTTTTCTAAAACCAGCTTGAAAATCTGGAAGTTCATGGCTCATGTATTGCTGAAGCCTGGCTTGGAAAATTTTGAGCATTACTTTACTAGCATGTGAGATGAGCGCAATTGTGCAGCAGTTTGAACTGTTTTTTAAGGAAATGTAAATAGAAACTCCAGTGAGGTAACACCTCTATCTGATAGAATAGCTATATCAAAAAGACAAGATATAAATCTGGGGCAGAATTTGGGGAAAAGGGAATTCTCAAGCACTACTGTTAGGAATGCAAATTTTTGCAGCTGTTGTGGAAAACAGTATGGAACTTCCTGAAAAATTAAATACTAGAACTACTATATGATCCAGTACTCCACTGCCGGGTATACAAAGGAAATGAAATTTATATCTCGAAAAGAGATCTAAACTCCAAGGTTGATTGCAGCCCTAGTCACCATAGCCAAGATATGGAAACAACCCAAGTGTCTGTTCAGCAGATGAATGATTATGTGTTATTCAGGTATCCAGCGCTTTTTGAGAGATTACCATTTTCCTTTTATGGAAAATCTACACTAGTACTTGTTTTCAGTAATCTACAAAAAAAGAAAAAAAGATTTTTGCTTTTACAAAAAGAGCTGAAAGTGAAAATAGTGTTCATCATCTGTTTTGCAGTGAACTTGAGTAGACTGGCAGACCCTCCCTAGAGAACTACACTCAGCATCTCAGCATGAAGTGCCATAGCCTTGAACTCTCTCCGTGACCATCTGCACTTTGTCCTCATTTGCTTTGCTAATCCTTTAGCAAGAAGTGTCCTAAGGCGACTGCCTCATTGCTTTATACCATTTCAGCTTACAAGAGGTTTCCTAGGAATGTTGCACTTTCTGAGAACAGAGGAAACCTGTGTATATACGACAGAACATCATTCAACCATCAAAAAAGGAAATCCTGACATCTGTAACATCATGGATGAAGCTAGAAGGCATTATTTTATGTGAAGTGTCAGAGAAACCTAAACCTTATGGTACTATTTTATATGTAAAATAAGAAAAAAGCATTTGAACTCACAGAATCAGAGAGAAGAGTTGTGGTTGCTAGTGGCTGAGGGATCGGTAAATGAAAGACATTGGTCAAAGAACAAAAAGTCTTAAGACAATTAAGTTCTGAGGATCTAATATATAGCTTGGTGATGATAGTTATTTGAATACCAGAAATTTACTAAGAGAGTAAGTCTTAAGCATCATCACCCAAAACAGAGAGGTATCCATAGCAAGTGATAATTGTGTTCACCACTTTGAGTATGGTCATCATTTCACAACATTTACATACATCATATTAGCATGTTGTATATTTTAAATCTACGGGAGTTTGTCAATTATACTTCAATAAAGTGAAAGCAAAATTTAGTCATGTCCAACTCTCTGCAACCCCATGGACTATACAGCTCATGGAATTCTCTAGGCCAGAATACTGGAGTGGCTAGCCTTTCCATTCTCCAGGGGATTTTCCCAACCCAGGGATCAAACCTGGGTCTCCCGCATTGAAGGCGGAGCCACAAGGGAAGCCCTACTTCAATAAAGCTGGGTATAAAAATAAATTTTTTCAAGGTAGGAAGAAATCAGTGCCCACCCCCCATAGATTATAACTCTTTCTCTTAATTGTCCAATTTCTATTAATGCCATAATACACCCAGACTCCTCCATACATGGTCACGGTCACACATTTTTCACATCCTTCCATTCTAAGCAGAAGTTGCAGCCACCCTGTTCCACACAGTGATCTGGGGACTCAGGGGACCATCCAAACAGCATCCTTGCCCTCAAGGGACCTTCAGGGACAGGCAACTGAAGAGGTCTCAACGCTGTCTGCTTGCAGGAACCTGTCTGTGTGAGGGCACCCCCTGGAGACTGCATGCACACAAGAGTGCCCAGTCAACAACCCCTTGAAGAAATGAACCATTTCAAATGTTTGGGTTCTTCTTCCCCAAGAGTGTACTCCTGCTAGGACTCATGACTGTCCACCTGGGAGTTGCTGACCCTTCCACCCCAGCACACACACTTTGGTGTCTGGTTTGGATGGTGCAAACTCACCATCAGTGCATCCATTGTGTGCTCAGGGACCTCAGCGTCATGGGCCAAGAGTTTCCAGGACTGGGCTGCTGGCCAGAGCACCTGGCCTTTTATAGAGCCTGGGACGGATGTACTGCAGTCCCAAACCAGCTTTCTTTGGTTGGCCACGCCCTGCTGGGTGGATCCCAGCCTCAGAAACCAATCACCTGGGAATTTTCGACCTCTCAGGGTACCTACCCGATTAGGTCACCCAGAGGCACTTCTGGATGTTTTTTACAGTCATTTGCCAGGTATTCAAACTGTGCAGGGGAAACAATTTTACACAATTATTTTATACAATTTGCTCATTTAGTCCGCAGTCATATGTGGTGGTTATAACTGTCAGCATACGATGCAGAAAGTGAGGCTCAGAGAGGTTAAGCAATTCCCTTGAGATCACACCCAATGTCAGTCACAGGTTCTAGATTTGAACTCAAAAGGTTTAGCATTTGTAATCCAGGTCCTTAAACACATCAGAGGTGTCAACCCAGGATCCAATCAGCCACTGAGTTCTATATATTTCATTTCTAGGTTGTAAACCAAATCAGCAGTGCTACCAGTGTAAAATCCTGGATTTGATGAGATCACCTAGAAATTATTTCCATCTCCCCTCGCCCACCCCCAGGAGTCATGGAGACTGTTTTATCCCAGCAGCGTGATCCACGTCTAGGGTCACAAGAGTGACTCCTGACCCTCTTGCAACTCCACTCCAGGTCCAAGTCTGGTCCCCACCACTATGGCTCATCCATCAAGAGCAAGTTTCGGGGCTTAACCATTCATAGACCTTCTGGAGGGGTGACCCGCCAGCCTCAGCTTTCTAAAATTTTTCAAGCTGCTCACGTCGGTTCACCTGGCCCGATGTGGGTTGAGAGGTGAGGTGAGTGGAACAGGAGGAGCCCGATCGGGTCCTTGGACCGACTCCCAGATTCCAGCTTCTGCTCTTGGCCGCTGGCAGGCTTGTGCTCATGGGCATCTCCAGGGCTCTTGAGCTCCGCTCACTCAAAGGCTGCTCCTCTGGAGAGATCAGTTGATAATCCAAACAGTTTTCTCACACAGACTCTTTTATCCCCAGGCAGGTGCTGTTCTGTTTTTTCTCACTGTTCTACATATGTAAATGACAAAGTATAATGTTTCTTTGTGTGTTTAGACTCATATGTGTGGCATTGTTGTTGCTGCTGTTGTTGAGTCACTAAGTCATGTTTGATTCTTTTTGACCCCATAGACTACAGATAGCCAGGCTTCCTTGTACTTCACTATCTCCGAGTTTGCTCAAATTCATGTCCACTGAATGGATGATGGAACCATCATACTGAACCACTCACTATGTTGGAACCATCCCATCCTTTGTCCCCACCTTCTCCTCCTGCCATCAACCTTTCCAGCATCAGGGTCTTTTCCAATGAGTTGGCTTTTCCCATCAGGGGGCCAAAGTATTGGAGCTTCAGCTTCAGCATCAGTCCTTCCAATGAATATTCAGGGTTGATTTCCTTTATGATTGACTGGTTTGATCTCCTTGCAGTCCAAGGGACTCTCAAGAGTCTTCTCCAACCAAAAGCATCAGTTCTTCAGCACTCAGCCTTCTTTATGGTCCAACTCTCATATTTGTTCATGGCTACTGAAAAACCATAGCTTTAACTTTATAGGCCTTTGTTGTCAAAGTAATGTCTCTGCTTTTTAATATGCTGTCTAGGTTTGTCATTGCTTTTCTTCCAAGGAGCAAGTATCTTTTAATTTCATGGCTGCAGACATCATCTGCAGTGATTTTGGAGCCCAAG